GTTAATAAATCATCAAGGAAAGAAACAAAACAAAAGATGACAAACATAAGGGCAGTTGCATACTGTGCATGGGTGGATAATGGAAGTGCTGCATATCCAATTACTACCTGCCAAGTAAAAGAACATAACAACTTAGGATTGCAATAAAAGATAGAATGAGAGGAGTGGGAAACAGACCAAATCACTAACCAATGAGTATACAACCACTGAAACGAGGTTCAGATGATTTTTTATTATTTCAAATGGAAGGAAAAGAGAAAAGGATCTCATTGAACTCACTGATTTTGGGGATCTCATTGAACTCACTGGTTTTGGAGCTTCTAATTTCATTTGAAGATCAACATGGAAGAAAGTGAATATAAGGTGACGCAATGGTGTCCAAACAGCAGGGAGAGAAACTTTAAATCATTAACAAGAACTTCAAACCCAAAAAGCACTTATTCAGGAAACATTAAATCAGAAGCTCTAAAACATCAACTCTGCAACTAGCTTCTTCTTTGAACAAGTCTTCTAGCTTTCCTCATCTTCGTTCCACTTTGACTTGGTCGGCCATCAAACAAAGACACAAACCATTTTGGTTTTCCTGTTCCGAAGACAAGATATCCCATCAGCAGTCCAAAAACAACTCCACATCCATAGCCTAACACCACAACTCTCCACCCAAATCTCCACAACTCATCTTTTTCTTGGAAGGAGCTCGGCGGTGTCTCAATTTCATCACAATATTTTGACAATGGGATTCCACACAGTCCAAGGTTTCCTTCATAAGAATCATTTCCAAAGGTGTTGAACTGATTGCCTTGTGGTATGCGTCCGAGGAGATGATTATTTGAAAGATTCAATACAGAGAGTTGTGTCAAAGATACCAACGCATCAGGAATGTTCCCCGTCAGCGCGTTGGAAGAGAGATCCAACCATTCCAGATTCGTCAAATTCCCTAGTGACGGTGGGAGATGACCAGTAAGGTTGTTATGAGAAAGATTAAGCCCTTTGAGAGAACTAAGATTTCCAATAACATCTGGAATTTCTCCCTCAAACATGTTATTTGAGAGATGAATACTACTGAATACGGTCAAGATTCCCTGCAGCTCATACTCGAATCCCTTCCATGTCACAACTAGTGAATATTGATAAGAATTGGTTCTCGTCGACACCATCATGTATTCAGAGGAACCACCATCCTCTCCATGAGGGTCCATCATCGCATTAAAATTTTCAATGTACCGAACAGGCAAAGCACCAACAAAATAATTGCTGGAGAGGTCCAGAACTCGCAACTTGGGAAAAGATGGACTTTCTTTGGTGCTCTGCACAAAACCGTGGAACTTGTTGGACCTTAAGACGAGCACTTGAAGGTCTGGTAGAGATTCCAACCAATGAGGGAATGTATCACTTATGTTGTTGTTGCCAACGTCTAGAACCTCTAACATGCGACAATTCACCAAAGACCTTGGTAATAAGCCGTCCATTTGATTTCCATGTAAGTTGAGATTTCGTAATCCACAGCCCTCTAGAAACTCAAATGCTATATTTCCATCAAAGTAATTGGCCTGCAAATTCAACACTGAAAGAGACTTAGGAAGACAATTTGGAATCTTCCCGATTAAGTTGTTATGAGAAAGGTCAAGAATTTCTAGATTTTGAAGCAGCGAGAACATGTCAGGTACTACTAAATCACTAAAATGATTTGATGATAAATTGAGATAACTAAGATTTACTAAATTAGCAAATGAGTTAGGAATTGAGCCATTAAGTAAGTTATAAGAAAGGTCAAGAGAGGTAAGTTGGGTGAGGTTTGCAAGTGATGATGGGATTTGTCTGTTAAAATTGTTAGAAGAGAGGTCTAGGTCAGTTAGTTGAGATAAGTTACCTTGGAAAGTTGGAATGGGACCAGAAAACTGATTATTGAAAAGGTCAAGAGAGGGAAGTTGGGTGAGGTTTGCAAGTGATGATGAGATTTGTCCGCTAAGATTGTTAGAATAGAGGTTTAAGCTAGTAAGTTGCCTTAAGTTACCTATGGAAGATGGAATGGGACCAGAAAACTGATTATTGGAAAGGTAAAGAGAGGTAAGTTGGGTGAGGTTTGCAAGTGATGATGGGATTTGTCCGCTAAGATTGTTAGAATAAAGGTTTAAGCTAGTAAGTTGCCTTAAGTTACCTATGGAAGCTGGAATGGGACCAGAAAACTGATTATTGGAAAGGTAAAGAGAGGTAAGTTGGGTGAGGTTTGCAAGTGATGGTGGGATTTGTCCGCTAAGATTGCTAGAATAGAGTTCTAGGTCAGTTAGTTGAGATAAGTTCCCCATGGAAGCTGGAATGGAACCTTCCAAGTTGCAGCTAAGACTCAGAGACTGTAATGACTTTAGATCTCCTATAGACTCTGGCAATCGCCTTCCGTAATCCGCATCAAGTATATACAACTGTTGGAGAGGACTGCTCCAATTGGAACTTGGAAGATCAATAGTGAGGTTTCGCTCTTCAAAAAATCCACTTAAATAAAAATTCTTGAGATTTGGAAAGCTGAAAATACTGTTTGGAAAGTTTCCTCTTAACGCACTCCCCCAAAGAACAAGAGTAGTCAATGAAGAAACGAGGATTAACAGATGTCATGTTCACTCCACTAAGCACAAGTTCTCTCACCTCACTCAAGTTATGAACAAGATTTCTGAAGGTAGCTGTTTCAAGGATCAAGTCAGAATAAGAGAGATTGAGAGAAACTAACTTAGGGAGGTGAGCAATTTCTCCCTGAACTTGGCCCGAAAATCCAAAAGAAGAGACATCAAGATGCTTTAGTCTAGTAAACTGACTGATTTCCGATGGAATCTTGGAAAGCTTAAAATTATTGAAGGCAAGATTGAGGCTCTGCAGGTTTCTGAGGAAGAAAAGAGTGCTGTTGGAAGGAAAGGTGCCATAAAGGAAACTGCAGCTGAGATTAAGGGCAATTACATGGCCTGTGACATTATCACAGCTAACCCCATCCCAGGAACAACAGTCTATACCTTCCCTCCATGACTCAATCTTAGAAGCAGTATCATCGACGGAGAAGGATGTCTTGAATTGCAGCAAAGCAAGAGCCTCCTCATGAGAGCAGAGATGCGTTGTTGAGAAGGAAGAAGCATGTATAGAGGATGAGAAGGCAATTTTAAGACAGAGGAAGACAAAAAGGAGGCAGAGTGGTGCAGAGAGCTTTGTGAAGATCCTCATATCTTTGTTTGGTACAATAGAGTACTCAAGAAGAGTATATATAGACGGTCTCAAATTGAGGTATGCTAATAATTAAATATATTCCATCAAAACAAAAATAAATGAATATAGAAAGTAATATTGATGCAGTAATGGATGTCAATTTTGAATCTATTTTTTTATTTGTCTTTTATTTATTATTTTGAAAGTAGATGGAGTAATTAAAGATTATAATCACATTATTAACAAGTCTTCAATTAATAATTTAAATCTCAATAAAAAAAATTATTATTTTTGTTATTTTGTGATATAAAAAAATATTTTTCTCACTTAAAAA